ATCTGTCCATAATACTATAAAGCTTAATACTCAAGAGAATGACTGTACAAGCTGAATTTAAAAACTCTTGTGGAACACAAAAAAATCAATATACCGTACTCAAAGATATATATATACAAGGATGTACACATAGCTTATACATATATATCCATCTATTTTCTAACTTCTTCATCCAGTACAGGGTCATACAGTAGCCTGATCTTATCCTGTCTATCAACAGGCACAATGCAGGATTATAGACTCTGAACGGGACGCCAGTCCATCATAGGGCACACATACAAACACAGACACAAACACGTACACACTCACACCAGGGCTACTTTTCTCAGAAGACAATTAACCCACCAGTAAATCTCTGGAATGTGGGAGGAAACCCACACAATCGCAGGGAGAACATGGAGACTCCACACAGACCGCACCCCAGGTCAGAATTGAATCCAGGGCCCCAGTGCAGTGAGGCAGAAATGCTAAACCCTGTGCCACCATGCTGCCGCTTATACATACAGCCTTGCAAATGTAAATGTATTCACCATCAACACCAATGATATCTTATTTGGTTGAATGACAAATAATGTATATACCGTATTATTAAAGTAAATATTTGTAGTCAAAACGTGAATATGTTAGAAAAATCAGAACTTAAATATTGATATCAAACCCCCTGGCACAAAGCCACAGCACACCACACAGGCAATACCATCCCGACTGTCAAGCATGGTTGTTGCAGCATTATGTTATGGGGCTGCTTCTCAGCAGCACTGACTCGGAAGCCTGTCAAGACGTAGGGCAAAATGGAAGGAGTAGACTACAGACAAACCTGCTTCAGTCTGTGAAAGACCTAAAACTAAGAAGGAAATTCACCTTTCACCAGGACAAAATGACCCCGAGCAAGGCCAAAGCTACAGTGGAGTAGCTTAACAAAATGAAAGTGAATGTCTGTGGGTTATTTCTTCTTGATAGTTCTTACACTGCAATCAGTGCAGTGCAGGACAGAATGGTAAAATGGCTCCTTTTATCCCAAGGAGCAATGCTAATCAAACAAACCTATCTGAGCAACATTAAAAATGTGAATAAAATCATGTGCTAAATGAGCAACTGAAGTAAAACTTAAAAGACTGTTTCATTTGCATTTTGCATCAGTATGTCATTCAAAAACTGACATTTGACAGAGTCAAACAGACATACAAACAAACTATACTGTGAAAAAGACTGCTTATCGTATTAGAGAAAAGATACATCATTTAAATGACCCTGGAACGCACTCTTTATTTTCTCCCTTCTGAATAAACCATTTGCCAGAACAATCACTTACAGAAAAAAAGTTTCTTTTTTCTTTCTGTTGATGTCAAGCAGACAAGACCCTTTGCAAACTTTGAAGAATATCTTCAAACACAGCCATCACATGTCCACACTGCATTCTACTGAAGACCCCAGCTTGCAAAGATATGAAATGTTATTAGGTGATATTAAGTCATTAGTCATGTGCAGCAAATCTTTCCACAGGACTGAAAGAAACTCTTACTGTATCTGACAACCTTTAAGTACTACATACAGAGTTATAGTATGAACCAAATGTTTTGTTTGGATTTTTTTAAGGTATCACTTTAAGTATCCACCTGTCACTTGCATTTTGTGTTTTGTACTGGATTTTAGAATCATGTTGAATAAAAGGCTTCGTGTTTTCCAATCCTTTTATTCCATGCATGCAGCAATCCCTTTTCATTTAGAATTGCCAATTATTTTTGTTGTGCCCACACAATTTGTAGCAGCCAATGAGCGTTACAATCTCAGTTCATAATATGAACCCCAAGATCACACACAGGGGAGAATGAGAAAGTGCAGACAGACTTCTTTAATCTGTCCACCTTTGAGTAATTTGTCTTTTAACACGTCACAGGCAACACAGCACTGTACCAGTGGTTTAGTGCCAACTGGAGATAGACACATCCCTCACTGATAGCACCAGGGGGCTGCAGGGATCACTGTAGCACTGGCAGCTGAGAAACCCCTTTTCTAATCCCACCCTGCCCATTGTGGCACTCAGCCAATCATGTGCTGCTGCTTAGAGAGTTCTTAGTCAGTGAGCTAGTAACATGACCCAGACTCAGACCTGTTATCACAGAGCTCAACCTGCACTCAAGCAAGTGCCTACAGCATATGCAGCTATTCTCAGCATCTAAGTAATACACTTTCAGTCCTCACAAGTATCTGACTGGCTGTTCTTTATTTTTATTTATGTATTGTTAAAGTCACGGTAATTTAAAAGTATGAAATTAATCCTAGTAAAATAATCTAAATCACTTGTTCTGGATGGATGAAATACTTACACCTGCAAGGTTTGTGGGATTTAAGGAGAATATATCATTTTAATAATCTTCCCCTTTTTACCTATTAAGATGTTCCTTTTCTTTCTTAATGCTCCAACTCTAAGACAGCAAAAATAATGAATTTAGTTAAATGTTTGCAATATTATAAAAGGTAAACTATAATGCTTAATTTTGCTCTACATCTGCCTACATAATGTTATTATAATTAATCTATTTTCTCTGAGCACTTTTGTATAATTCTAGATTATTAAGTATAAAAATTTAACATGATTGGATACACAAACATTATATCCAAGCACTGGGAAAAGAACAAGAAAACAAGAGCGTTTTAAAACAGCAATATTATAGCCGCATCACACACATCGATGAACTAAAATGTGAAAATTAAACATTAAACTTGTCTGTTGTTAAAGTGCTGTACAGGAAGACTCATTGTGCACTTGGCTCAGATTTAACACCTCTCACTGACGCCTGAATCTACAGTAATAATGCTTGTCCATATGTGTCTTTATGCCTAATAAATTCCTGGTAAATGTGTGTGTGTTTTGGGGGGGTGTCATATTTATTAGTTGCTGTTGCCCCTTGTCCCCTCTACATTCTAGAAGTCAGACAGTATCTCATAAAGCCTTCCTGATTAGTGAATGTAAATAAATACTGGTGGGTTTATATGACATCTTCCGTGACACTGAACTGCTTCGAGGCTAAAAAAATTAAATGAAAACAATTTTGGAATTGAAACATTATTTGAACTGACATTTAAGCTGCCTGTAAGCATATTAAAATTAATCAGTGTGTATGTATAAACCCTTCTCTCCTAAAATTCATATAATTTCATAAACAGTTCATAAGAAATTAGGCATTAGTATCTTATTCCAATAAACCTATTAAAAATCATTATAAAGTGTATGCATTACACTGTAGTTGAAATATTAAATTAGGATCATTGTTTTGCTGGCTACGGGTTCTTGTAGGTCTATTATTTTAGACTGTTTTGTTTTCATGGACAACTTAAATGGAGTTTACAATGAATGTTTGGGAGGAATAAAGATCAATTGGCCTCAGCTAGTCTAAACCATAATAACTCCTGATGTGATTTTCTCAAGTGAACATAAGAGAAATACTATGAGTTATCCCCCTCTGCTTCTCATCCGTATGTGCATCCCTCCTCCACCTCATCTCTACCTGTGCAGCTGCCCCTTGGTCACTTCTCATCCTGCAGGGAGAAGGTTGCCCCTCAGCCGAAATTAGTGATGAATAAAACACTCAATAAACATTGTCAATATGCCTAATTCTTGTGTGTAGTTATTCCTAGTGAACCTTATTCTGTATATGTAAACATCCCCTGCACAGCTCCACATCTCAGTGTTATCTGAGCATGTGATGATGGCAGTTTCAAGAAGGATTTTATATTAAGAATCTACATTATGTACTGCAAACAGATAAAGCTATAACCCTGATGTAAATAAATTAAACATTTGAATACTTAATTACATAAGTATTCAACCCCATGGTTACAGAAACCCTCAATTTGTTCAGGTGCAAAAAAACAGCGTAAAGGCCACAATATAAGTGCAATGGCCTTTGTGTGTAATCTAAGTGGTTTATCTTAATGTCAAACTAAAACTCTTCCCTCACAGAAACTACTGTATATCTAATTTATTAATTGAATTTCTAGCCAGGAAAATACCTGCACCATGCTTCTGTTCAGAAGTTCAGAACAGTTCAGAAGTACAAAAGGGAGTCAGGAGAGTTTTTGGATCAAAGTTTTATGGAGAAATCTGACCATAATAAACCTTTAAAAAGCGATTAAATGATTAAAGTGTGAAGAACAAAAAGGAACAGCAGATCTTCTCCAAAGCACACCACCTCTTCAGTGAAGTATGGAGGTTCTGGGTATGTACTGCCATCTCTGGAACTATGTACTTGTCTTTACTGAAGTTGCATATGCTGATGTATAAAATGCTTACCTACTTATAGGGCAGCACTACATCATGAAGCATTGAGCATTGAGCCAGTGCAACCAAGGAGACAAAAGTGTTAAATCTTGGACTGGCCAAGTCAATCTCCGAATTTAAATAAGTAAGAAGTAATTTTACATGATGAAATCAAAGTGGCTGCTGCAAACCAGCCCAAATGAATTCACAAAATTTTGCAGTCACAGGATATGCAACCATATTCTGACTTGTAAACTGTGACATTTATTTAAAATGAATGTGTCCCCATACAATTGGTGACTTAAAATCACAGGGTTGAACACAAAGTATATTTTTGTTCTAATATGATCAGATGTATGCATGAGATCACACTAAAATATATAGTACTGTATGTTGTGCTTATAATTTATAAAAATAAGATGAAAAATCAAATACATTGACCACAAAGTAAATGTATAGTAACAGTTTGGGCATTGCTGTACCTCAACAATACTTTTAGGGGGAATATAGATCAGAAAGCTTCCTTTAATCACAAAGACTTTTCCAGCTTTCTAATGTATTTGCATCTTTCCAGCAGGTTTAAGCGTAGTTTTGGTACAGTATGAAATAGGAAATACCATACTGCTTCAGTGTAGTGAAATCTGGAAGCCTACAAGAAAATAAATTATTTTCTGTGTGTAGCAATCATATTTAAAATCCATACAAAGATGAACAAGTTTGCAACTCCACTATTCCTTACCAGTTTAGCTTCTGAATGCATTGTAGGGACTTGGGATGAAGAGCAGTTGTTGTTGAGGTTTGGACCCTGAAGTCCCATGATACTGGAGCCCATTGACATCTGCCTTTCCATCTGATTAACAAAAATGTAGAGAGTATTACTTTAAATGTAATCCATAATTACAAATCATATAAGTATTTCTATGAAACATATTAAGTCAAACATAAACTCAATCTTTAACCCCTTACATTGATAGTATTTTGAAAATGTTTTGAAAGCAAATTCCAAAACTACTAATCAAATAACCTACTGCTAACAGTACTTGTAGAAAATTATCATACCTGATAAAAAAAGACACTTGTTCCTTAAGAGCTCGTTTGATCAGGTTTATTTTTTTTATTAATTAAAATTAAATACTAAAAATGTATATTATGTCAAACTACATTTAAAATATATATATATATGCTGGGCTGTGGTTTTAATGTAATGTTCGTTTTTAATGTAGATTTCAAAATACTGGAATATTTTTAAATTATTCATAATCTTTCAGGGTTTGAAACAATGTAAAAAAGCAAAGTCAAAACACAATGTGAAAATCTTCAGCGAAAGATGTTTCACACAGTACAGTTTCCCCAAATAGAAATGTCCTAATTTAACTTGCAGAAGCTGAGTAATGACAGAGATGCAGTCAAAAAGAAACTAACGCAGGAAGCTAGAGACTGGAATACTTCTTTTTGCAGTTTAGCAACAGCTGCTGCAGCCTGCCATTTGATATCAATACCTGTATTTTTTTAATTCTCTCAATGCAACAAATGTAGAAATATAGAGCATTACACTCATTCATTTTTGTTATAAAAAGCTGCTGTTCAAACTAACCCTTTTACTGGTGGGTGTTGAGCGTAAGTCTATCTTTGTCTGATCTGATAGCTGCAGAAACAGTGCCTATGACATGTGTGAGGACACAGTCAGGGGAGTCCCTTCTGTAAACAGAGCACATTACTTAATTTCTTAAGTGTATTTTGTATGAAAACAATTACTCTTTTCCCGAGCTGTCAGTCTCTGTCAGGACCTAATATATTAAATATTGACGATGGTATCCATAAACACAATCTGAATCATGTTACTTAAAAGGTCATGTTGTATTATTACTATACATTTATACTTCATAAACTCTGGTACGCAATCACAAATAATTCAGCTTTTATTATTGTTGTTGTTGTAGTTCTTTAATGTAAAGTTCTAAACTTGAAGAAAAGGCTTTATGTCAAATCATTTAAGACATTGTACTGGGGTAATAATATGATAATCTGGAAGAATAAAATGAGCTCCCCGTATCATATACTGTTTGTAACACAGAGCACCGTGTTCATATTTTTCTGACAATAATAGCCATTAATTTTTCTAATCATTCAAGGGTTTGAGATTTTGACTGAGATTAAACTATTATTCATTGTGTGCATAATAATCTAATCAAATAACCACATATTATTAGACTTGGTATAACATTACCACCTACAGTGGTACTGTAATTCCTATTGTAAAATACATACAGTATATGATACTGATATAACAAATATCCCACCAGTTACTGAAGTAATAATAAAAGGCATAGCTCTAAATATCAGAGAGAGAATATTTCATACTGATTGTCACTCAGTTCAGAAAATATATAAAGCAAAAACATATTGAGCCCAAAAACAAAAAAGAAAATATCAAATACAACAAATAGGATTCTTAGTACTTACTATATTCTTAGAAAACACAGAACATTCATAATATGTTTGAGAATAAAATACTCATCTGTATACCTGCCCTGAACTTCAAAATAAGTACTAATGTGATGTACTGCTAGATTCATGATGTCAAAACACATCAGGTGATAGAATTCAAACAGCACACATTAAAAACATGGCCACTAAAATGTTGCCCAAGTTTTTTTCAGGAATTTTTTTTTTGTATTCCTGCCTGAAACATGACACAAACTCAGATAAATCACACAATAGTAAGTTTTTGGTTTGCTAAATTATTCTTATAAGCATTTGTCAACAATTTGTAACTGTATGCATGTTTATTTTGGCTTTAAGGGGGCAGAAACAAGCATTGAGCCTTCTCATCCTTCCCCTGCAAAAACCAGCATCCAGGAATGAAGACGGCTTTAGAAGTGCCTCCTGTACTGCTGACTTGAAGCCAAGCAGTCATCACTGAATTAATGTGTGACACTAAAACCAATACATTCTTGCAAACTAAATCACTAGGCACATGTATACTGAAAATATTACAGTATCATATCTAGAAAGAAGTATATTTTTTATGTATTCATGAGTAAATAAAGACCTTAAAAATTGTTTCAAGAAGGCAGTTCAAGAGACCTGAAGAAGGCTCCACAGCCGAAACGTTGTGTTTCCTTTCTTGTCTTTTCAGCATGGAATAAACCTTTACATGTACCTTAAAAATTTAGCAGATTGTTTTTTTTCTTCATACTCACTGGCATTAATACTGCAGAGGATCCAGGCATAGGAGGGTCAGGCAGGGTGCCAGGCATTGAGGCAGGTAGAGGCTGTCTCTGTCTGTTCCGAAGGTGCAGCAGTGAGGACAGCGAGCCTGGAACAGGCCTGGTGAAACAAAAGTAAGCATCTAACACTTAGTCACGCTTCGATAGCACTTTTTAATGCTTATGTGGTACTCAGGAAATAGAAAGCTTTTTCATTTTTTTCATTGACATCAGTTCCTCCATGTTATGCTACACTATGTTGGGATGTAGTGTGGTTTCAACAGTTCCTGCAACAAACATGATGTACTGTATTAACACTACAACCTACAAGATTATCTACATAAGGTGATGTCTCAATCTATCAACTTTAACATGAATACTGAAAACAACTGCAACTGTTTTAAATGTGATCTATTAGATAAAGAAAATATCACATTAGTCAGACACAGGACAATAAAGCCAAGCTAACTCAAAATACAATTCATTGAACCCTACATTCCCAGATTGCAGTAAAGTTGGAGTTAATGTGCACAACACTATTAAATTAAGGTGGTTAGCTGCGTCACCATGCGTAGGCTGCAAAGGAACAAGTAATAGGTTTATTCCACGCTCAAAAAAAGAAGAAAGAGAACACAACGTTTCGGCCGTGGAGCCTTGACACACCTGAAGAAGGCTCCACGGCCGAAACGTTGTGTTCTCTTTCTTCTTTGTTTCATCATGGAATAAACCTATTACTATTAAATTAAGTCATTATTATTTCTATTAGCACTATGGTCACTGTTTTTAAGTATCAGTGTCCACTGTGTGCTGTTTTAGAACAGTATTAACTGTGAACAGTAACCATCATGGAACTACTCTGAGAGGCTAAAAGAAGTGAAGCTAAGCCTAGTATTGAGCAAAGAAGACCACAAAGGGATCCGATAAAGTATTCAAATGACAAAAAGAGTTTCAGTGCAATAAATGTCTTTAGAATGAAAAGTGACAGATGAACAAGGAGGAGCAAGTGGAAACTGACATGCTGTTGAAACCTGGGTTCTTTCACAAAACAACTGGCTGAGACATTTCTATCATTTAGCTACTAACTACCAAATGATCGAGAAGTGTTGAATGGCCTTATAAGCAATTTTAGTCAAGTTTAAAGGCACAAATACAATTTGAAATCTAGAGTGAACATCCCTTAAATCTTTAATATCAACAGATGTGTTCTGCTTTATGAAGACATGACTAAAAGTTTTCCTATCGAAACAACAAACTTTATTTAAACTTTATTAGTTCCTATTTCTAATAGTTGAGAGAAGCAGTGGATTCAACAATCATACACAATATTCACAATATCAGCAGTAATTTATTCTCACATACTGTATATATTTTAAAATCTATGTTATATAACTTAAACTATACTACTGTCATTTTATAATTATAAGTCAAAAGCCCTTGCCAATATTTAACTTCAAGAAAATGTCAGAATATTTGCAAGAAAAAAAGAACTGGACCATAAATGTAATTGTGAATGAATATCAAAGCAATCACTTTTGAAAAAACAATACCTACAGTATATCAAACTAATATACCGTTAATTCTAAGTGTATAGTAAAATAAGTAAAGCACCACCAGTACTCTAAATAACTGCCTACTTTCCTGAAATTATCAAGTTTCCACTTGTTTAATATGATTGATAGATAAGACAGGACTGCCCGCTCTGCATCTTGGTGCCCATTTCCTGCCTCTGCAGCTACATGCATACTTTATTTAGTTCGATTGACAGAATTACTTCAAATAGCAGGAAGGGTATCACATGTTCTTCCATGATATCTATTTTAAAGCACTGATATGTAATAATTTAGATTTTATTTACTTTGTGAAAGCATATGAATTAACATCATTTATAAAACCATTCTTTGTTTCAGAAATGCATTATTGCAACACTGCTTTGAAACAGAAAAGTTTTTTTGCAAAAACTAGTTCAAACTATCTCTGAGTCTTCTACCTTTGCCTCTGCTTTCATTAACAATGCTGAAAAATGCTTTTATCTCTTTGTGCTGACAATTTATTGTAAAGTAGGCATTTTTCACAATCACAGAGACATAACCACAAATGTAATAAACAATCCCTGCATTAATTACAGTATATTTTCTAATTCCTTCAATGTCCTTACAGGATGTGCACTTAGTCTGGATTTGAACAATATTTTTGAACAGGTAGTTGCAGAATTGAACATATGGATACATTTTCTCAATTCGTTCACATATCTATGATAAAGTGGATATGTTTGATTGTTTTCAGTTCTGTGTTCCCTTTTCCTCTTTTAGGGGTCAGACTGCACACAAGAATGTCAAAAATTATATGGAAAGGTAAATAACTGCTGCTACTGCTTACAGTTCAAAATATTGATTGGGTTGCATACTGTACCTAATGCATAATCTGTTAGATTTTAGCAGCACAACAACAATGTGAGAGCTTGCTCTAACAGGTTTTTCTGTTAGAGGCTCCATGCAAATCTTTAGCAGTGAATAAGAATTGAAATAGGAATTTGAATACTCTAGACAAAGAAATTACTTAGGGCAATAAGCCTTTAGTTTCCAAAATCCTAAACATTAAATGACTCATTTTATTTATTTTTTTCAAAAAGTGTACATACCCCTTGTATTCATAATTACATAAAAACTGTTCTTACTCCCTTATTTTTTACACATTTTGGGAATATCGACTATTCAATACAAAAATATTCCTTTTCCTCATCTGGCACTCTTGTTGAAAAGGGACTGCAGTCTTGGCATTTTACAGCTCTGCTTGGCCAGCATCACTGCAGCTAAAAAGGTGTTGGTGCTTAAGTGGGAACCTCCATAGTCCCTGCCCTGGCATCAAGACCTGTCTGGGTATTATTCTGATGGACTCTCTGCTGTAGGATGGTGGAAACATGGAGAACTGCTAATCATCCATTGTCTATTCTCAACTGACTATCTACTTTATATAATTATGTTTACTTAAAAAGAATCAAAATATGTTAGGGAACGAATATAAATTCAATGTCTATCTTATGTGTTTGCCCAAATATTTAATAATTTCAGCTATTTTAAAACATATTTTAAACTGTATGAAAAAAGGCACAGAATATTTGTGTCAAACAGCAGAATTTATCAAGCTGTCTTTACAAGCTTCTTTATAAGTCCGTGTTCCAGACCCGCTGCATTTTTGTTATGAAATTCTTAGCTTGCTTGTGACATTCCAGTCACAAGCAAGTTAATAAATACAAAAATGATTATCATATTCACACCCAGGCTAAAAAGAAGCAATCAGCCATACAGTAGTTATAAACGCTGCTAAGTAAATAGCATTGTAATAATGAACTTGCATTTTCCACATGCCTATGTTTAACAACTGCTCTGCTCACAACTGCAATAAAATCACAAGGATTGATTTGGGCTAATTTGTTTTTGTATTTGTCCTTTGCAGTACTGATTTTAATAAATAAGCTTTGAGAAGTTCTCATTTCGTAAAGCATACTATAGTCTGCACCCAGAGTTAAAGAATGACAACTGCAGAACAGCCAGAAAACCTCTGAATAAAGAATAATGTCCCAGACAATTGAACAGAGACATAACGATCACAAATGTAATAAATTCTGTATAGTTAAATCTAATATGATTAATAATACTTATTTGTTCGCGTTAATTGTACCTCCAGACATTCTCACCTAACTTAATCAATTTCTTTGATAACAAAATACAACAATTCCTGTTATCTACAGTAATCACCTACTGTATACCGATGAAGATCTTTACTTCATTGAGATATGTATTTCTTAGTAACTTCTTAAGTATCACTGGTGTTTTTTTTAACCCAGAACCAAACTTTTGTTTTTAAATAAACTCATATTAAAGCACATAAGATGGCTCATATGTCAATGCATGGTTTTAATACACATACATTTCAGAGCAATGGAGATTACTTAGTAATACACCCTCTAACATTGCTAATTTATTTTTAATATATAATATATAACATACAATATATAACAAATAATATATAATATGTAATAAATCTGTCCTTGAGATTTTTTAGGCAGGTTGAAATATCTGGCAATCCCAACTATTAAAGCACTGCATACTGATACTTCACTTTTCATTTTAAAGTAGCATTCAAATTACATTTGAGGTCATAACTGTCACCACACACTTTCAGACATGCTCAGACTCATGGTTATGTTAACTTGGTACATGTTAAACAATGTATAGCCTGTGTTAACTAGACTAAAAGGTTCATTTCAACATTATATAAGAGACTGGAAAAACTTAAGACCTAATTGACTCTCTGGACAATAATTACATGGCCGTGCCAGTGACGCTCATTCTGTGCAGTAAAAAAGGCATTTCTTTTCATTTATTTTATAACACAGCATATTCATGCACATACCACAGGAAATACAAACTGTTGTAAGCTTGGAAAAAATGAAAGCCCCTTTGATCAGCTCTTCACAAGATCTGTCTTTTTTTTGTCCATCTAACTATTTAGTTGTGTTGTTGAAGCTGATATCCTTGCTTTTTTTCAATAAACCTTCAAGAGATCTTCAGATCAAATAACTATTGACTACCCAGTGGATGAGATGGGTCAAACTGACTTGTCTCTTTTACCTTTCTTATGTTATTTTTACGAAGTCATGTTTGCTGTTTCCTTTTTTTAAAGAAAAATATAAAATGCAGATCAGAATATTATTTCTTCCTATATATAATCACAAGATTATTCAGTAAAACTACTAGAAAAATAACCTGAAACACATCTGCCACCTCAAATCAGATGTACTTCTTTTTAAATACCAATTTAAAGATGCTGTTGACATTTTTTTTAATGTACTGTACTGTATGCACCTTTAAAAGAAATATTTGCAAGGTTCAGAAGAACACTAATGAAAAGGTCTTTCAATGTATTTTTTAAAAAGAATTCTAAAAAAATACAGAAAAAAAGCACTGAAAACCAAAATGACATGCTTTCAGTATGTATTAACATCCAATGTAAGATCTGTAAATAATTACGGGCTACATATCAGGCAGAGCTACAGTGACTGCAATTGATAATAAACTTCAGTCCCTGTGGGACCAGGTAAATGTGCTGCAGCCCTGACCC